AAAATTATAGTTAGGAACTTTAACACTCATATTGGCCAACTAGTGTATGAAGAAGTGCTGCAATTCTTGGTAACAAGTTATGATTTATATCTAGATGGTCCCCCAAAGGTTCATACACTCATAGGCAGGGCTTTTGGAAGGTCACTGAATTATGGGGTAAGGATAGCTGACTAGCTGTTAAGAGGCAAGATCTAGTTCAAAGGGAGATCACAGGGGTGTGACTTAGAAGGACATACTCTCTTCCCCAGCTCCTTTTGCCTTATGCTTCCTGTCCACCATGAAGTGAGCAATTTTTCTCTGCCCATGCCATAGTCCACACAAAGACTAAAACTTCTGAAATAGGAACCAAAATAAACCCCTTGGGCTGGTGAGATGGCTCAGTGGTCTAAAGCACCTACTTAGAACAAGCTTAGCAGAGCACAGGGACCACGGTTCAATCCCCCAGCACCACATGCCAGCCAGGCCCGCCCCCTGGTGGGCTGAGCTGGCCACACACACTAAATAAATAAATAAAATTAAAATAAATAAACCCCTCTTCCTTTAGGTTGTAGGTATTGGGTATTTGTTTCAGCAATGAGGAAAATAATTAAGATATAAGGGGAAATATAATTTCTTATTTGAAAAAACTTAAGAATTGGACAATATTGAGTACTAGAGGGAATGTGAATCCATGGGTTTCTTCAGACAATACAAATAAAGTGTAAGTGAGTATACAGTATTCTTCCTTATTCATGGTCTAGCTTTCTGTGTTTCTATTACCCAGTTAACCAAAGTTGGAAAATATTACTGTATATTTGAGAGAATCAATATTCACATAACTTTTATTACAGTGTTTTACTATAATAGTTCTATTTTACTATTACTTACTGTTAATGCCTTATTGTGCCTACTTTAGAAATTGAAGTTATCAAAGTTACATATATATATAGGAAAATAAACACAGTATATATAAAGTTTGATACTGTCTGGTTTCAGGCACAGAGGACCTTCAAATGCCCTCATTCCAATAAAGCAGCACTATTTCATTTTTGTTTTCTTGAGAGAGGGCCTACTATATAGTTCAGGCTGGCCTTTAACTCACTATTTAGTGCAGTCTGGCCTTGAACTCTTGGTGATCCTCCTGCCTCAACCTCCCAAGTGTTGGGATTATAGGCATGTACCACCATGCCTGGCAAGCAGGAGTACTGTGATTACTTTATGACTATTGACTAATAATTATTTTAAGAAACACCAGAACATCATTTAACAAAGTTCTCCTATTTTTGCTTGTCTTACAATCTAGAAAACCAAGTCACATGAACATTAGTAAAATAAACTCCTATTCATGTACATGAGAACACATTTATATGTATGTTCATGACAGCTTTGTTTATGAGAACAAAAAACTATAAATAAGTAAATGTCCCTGAAAGTACTCATGCAACTGACTACAGTCAATTGACACAAAAGTGTGAATGATCTGTAACTATAGTCGCAATGAATTTTAATAACATTCTTTTGAATAAAGAGTAAAAAGCTTTAAAAACAACATGCACTATTATACATACAAAAATGCAATACATATACCTCTATAAATATACTGAAACAATTTTTTAAAATGTTTTTTGAGAAGGTAGATCAGTTTTCATAGTATTATATGAATGAAATGTAAAAATCATATATAATTCACCTTTTATGTTATATATGTGTGTATATATATATATATATAACACATTTACCATCTTAAGATGAAATATTTTTGAAGACAAAGCAAACAAATCCCTTAAATGACTCATTACCAAAAAGGACCCAAGAAATCAGAGAAACTGAATCACCTACACATCCTCCCTGCGACCCATACAAAGTACCATAAATATGTAGTAGTACCAATCTGCACACTTGATAGCTCCAGCTGCCCTTAGGAGCCAGGATATCATGTTGCCTAGAGAGTGCAAGAAGGCAGGAAGGCAAGAAGACAAGAGGACTAGGGGCTGCTTCTGAGTCAGATTTGTAAACAAAGTTGGATACATGAATGTATGGACAGGATGATCAATGACTGGATGGAGAAAAGGTGGAATGTAGAGTATAGCTGGAGGTAGTAGTCTTCAGAAAAAGGACCACCTGTTGAATCTAAACGTAAGTTTGAAATGTCACTGTTCATTATGACTAATAATACATGAATACTACTAATAATAGGTGACTTTTGTTGAGCCATCCTGGATCAGGCAGTGTGGAGTTTCCTTTTACCTAATCACATTCTCAAACAATCCAGTGATATACAAACTATTCCCACTACTTTTTTTCAAACACAAGCTAAGTTTAAGACACTGAGTAAATGCTTGTACCATGGGCGCTTTTCCTTGAACAAAAGGCAAGACCACATTTCCAAGCCTGATGTTACATGTAGCTCAAAATTCTATTCTTGTCAATGAAATATAAAAGGAGGTGAAATGAATGTAAGTGAATACAAGTACTACCCTTCTCTCCTATTCCTCTTGGCCAAGGAAACTAAAAGCCACATATTGACAAGAGAATATACCTGGGTCTCTAAATATGTGGTGTAGGGCTCTTCTGCTGCCCAACAGAATGATGATACGAATGAGAAAAATACCTGCTGAGCCACCAAGAAGGTGGAATTTTATTTTTTAGAAAAAGTCATATAAACTCTGCCTAACTTGTATACCAATGACACAGTGAGGTCATGTAACTTCCTCTGGGTCAAAAGGCTGGTGAGCGGCAAATAATACAAGCCCCAAACCTATCTTCTACCTGATGCATCATCATATTCTGCTCCAAGTAAAGGCAAAAAGAGTATATGATGGGGGAGGGAAAACAGGGGATCACAATTCAAAGAGATCTGTGATCACTCAAGATCCAAGGAAGGCCACAAAAAGAAGTTGCCCACAGAATTTCAGATATAGTAATCCTATAGGGATCTGCATGCTGCTGTGACACCTCATGCTAGCCTCTCAGTCCCCTACCTGTACAGGTGCGTTGCAAGAGCCCTCTCTTCATCATCCATGGTCCCTGTCCACACTCCAGTAGATACATCAGCTCTGCTTTTGGAACAGGATGCCCTGCTATGAGAGATAATTGGTGTTCTGGGTGTACTAGTAAAGAGGAAAAGTCTCAAGTTCACAGTTCACACCTTTAACACAAGGCCAGGAAACCTAAGAAACCCCACTCCTGCTCTGCAAGGTATTTCCTAATCAATCTATGGCAGTAGGATTCCACGTCCCCATATATCAGGACTACCTAGCAAAGCTGAGTTAAAAAAAAAATTAAAATTGGTGAGCACAAGGCCTAAGCACTGGTAGTTTTCGGGCTTTGTTGTTGTTGGTGGTGGTGGTGGTATTTCTTTGTTTTTATTTTTTTCAGACAGAGTCTAATTATGTATTCAGGCTGGTCTTGAACTTACTACATATCCCAGGCTGGCCTTGATCTCATGGCAATTCTCCTGCCTCAACCTCCTGAGTATAACACTGGTAGTTTTTAAAGCCATTCAGTTTAATTTTCATGCCCAGATGGTTGAAAAACACTGAGCCAAATCATCTACTGGAAGTCAGCTGAATGAGCTAAACAGGTGACTTAAGCCCAGAACCCATTTTGTAGAGAAAGCCTTTATTTCACATTATTGTCATCAGATGTGGGAGCTTTTCACTGCAGCTGTTTCTGCACCACCCTGTGACCTCTTCAAAGGTGCTGCCATGATGACCCAGAGCAGAACAGAAAGCAGTTAGAGAACTGGGATGTCATTTATCAATCTAGGAGCCATCATCACCTTTGGGCTTTTCATTAGATGAAGTAATAAATATTTTTCAGAATGAAACCTGTGGAGTTCCTTGCAAGACCCAACAGATCAAGAGAGTCAGCTTGGGTTGACTCCAAGAATGGAAGACTGGAAACTCAGAAGATGGAACATCTTGAAGTTGGGATGTTTTGTCAACTCAAGCAGAGATGGACCTTACAGGGAAAACAAGGAAGCTCCTTAGGGGACAATCAGATGAAAGTTAACAATTCAGCCAAATGGTCACTATGCTTGCTAATCTAAAACAAACCTCTGCTCAGCAGAACACTATGCCTTTGTTGTTTCTCAATAAATCTGGGAATCTGAGTCAGTTTGGGGCTTTACTTTGGTGAAGTACCCAGATCCTGTGCAAAAATATTCTGTCTCTCACCCTGTCAGAATTTGCTGACCCGGCATCAGCAAAACCAATACAAGGTGGTCTTCTGTTATGAACCAAACATACAAATGTGAAGACTAAAAGACGGAAGCCTCTAGAAAGTCAATAGTGAGGCAGTGGGGGACCCACTGAAACATCGCTGGGAAGTCCTACTTGCCAGGCTAGGATGCAACCTGCTGTTTCACAGCACATATTCACTGATATCTGCCATCTGCCGGACAGTCAGCTCAGTGACGGGGAAGGGTGAAGGGAAAAGGAGTTAAAATCTTCATCTCTATAAAGGAATCGATCTCTCTCCCTCTCCTCAGGGACTCTGCTTGTATTGGTCCCTGTACCTGGAATGCTGTGCATCCTTTCAACAACTTACCAAAACTGTCATAAAATAGAATTATATTTAACTTACTAATGAGTGAGCTCCCAGAAGAGAATGTGAGCATTTAGGCTGCCACAAGCCTGTCAGAGACAGCCATTTAGATGTCTTGAAAAAATCGGGGCCAGGGAGATGGCTCAGTAGAATAAGTGCTTCCCTGGCAAGCACAAGGGTCTGAGTTCAATCCCCAGTTCTGCCAAAAATAAAGAAAGAACCTTCTTGCCTCCATTCAGTTCTTATTCAGACAAATTTGTGGGTGACATAATCTTTAAAAGTTTAAGTAGGAGAACATTTTAGATTTGTTCATCTGTTACATATAACAAATACATTTGTAGCACCTGCCGTAGTCCAGATTCCATTCTAAGCACATTACAGATATTAGTTCTCACCTTATAATGATTTGTAAATAGTTACTGATAGGTTCTGGCCCTGGTATGAATTGCTGAATTATTATAGTGGTCATCTCTGAAGCCCTTAAAACAACTTATCTTCCCCGAGACCACCTCCCTCCTTCTTCTCCAAGCCCAGGGTGCAGTTTCCTTTCACCTTTCCCACCGCCTCAGGGAAGGCCCCAGTCAGCTCCTTAGGTATATCTAAACATCCCCCTCAAACCCCTCCCCTAGCAAAAGGTCATAAAAGCCCCAGCCTCCCTTTGTTTCAACTCAGAGAATCCCTTATCTTGCCCAGATTGAACATCCTCAAAGATAATAAAGCCCCTTTTCCTTTTTCCTTCTGCCTGTTTCTCTGCTGCAACACCATCGAGAAACCTATAAGTTACTATAAAAATGATAAAATCAAATCAATGTATGAATTCTCAGCAAGCTCATGCTGCCTGCTCAAGGCTGGGAGTTTGAGACTTTCTTTTTGCTGAGGAGGAGATTAGCCAATACTCACAGGACTGTGAAAGAGTCGGGTCTAAGCCAAAGTTTAAGAAACACAAGGCTAGCTAGGTATGGTGGCAGTGGGACTACATGCCTGCAGTGCCAGCACTTGGGAGGCTGAGGCAGGAGGACTGCCATGAGTTTGAGGCCGGTGTGGGCTACATAATGAGTTCAAGATCAGGCTGAACTACACAGTGAGATCCTGTCTACAAAAAAAAGAAAGAGGGCTGGTGAGATAGTTCAGTCGACTAAGGCCCTGCAGTTTGATTCCCAGCACCGTATGCCGCGCTGGCCCCACCCCAGGCACCTTGAGCCAGCCATAGAGTCCAAGTGTGGTGGTGCACACCTGTAATCTCAGCACTGGGGGCGCTGAAAACAGGAGGATCACTACAAGTCTGAGCTGCATGGTGAGACCCTGTACCAAATACATGAAAGAAAAGAAAGAAAGAAAGAAAGAAAGACAAAGTAGGAAGGATAAAGTGAAAAAAACCCTTTAGCTGTGGGAAAGTTGCTTAGAAAGATATCGCTATTACTGAAAACAAACACTTTCTATTGCCTGAATCATCCTCTTCTTAGAGAAGTCTCTGCTAACTGAGCTGCAAAGACATTTGACTCCACCATGCTGGGCCAATCACCTCGCACTGAGACATCCGATAACAGTGCTGGGGAGACCAACAGAGGTCAGACCACAATATGCTAAGGCTGTGGAGAGCAGGCAAAGTGGCCTGAGGCTTTCTCAACCAGCTATGTCCACGGCCTCAGGGGGTGGAAGTGGGGAATAAAAGAGACTTAAAGTTCCTAGCTCTGGAAGAGAAATGAGCCCTTACCGAGTGAGACTAAGAGCTCACAGGTCTCCAACATCACTTCCTTGTACAGGGTTCTCTGGGCCAGGTCCAGATATCTCCATTCTTCCCCAGTGAATGTCACAGCCACATCTTCAAATGACACCAGTGCCTGGAACGTCAAAAAGAGGTGGTAAGGGTGGCTGTGAAGCTAATAAATGACATTAAAGCCTATTTCTGGCAAGAATTTGGGTAGACCCAAGTCCCAAAAAACTGACATGGAGCACCTCCTCCGAACCTTGCTACTGCTAAGCTCAAGGAGAAGGCAATGGTGCCTTTAACAGAATAGAAAATGTAGAAGGGAAAAGACTAGGCAACCATTGAAGAATGACACAGACAATGACAATTCCATGAGGACTGTGAGGAGTAGACAGCAAATGTTGTGGGACACTATGAGAGAGAAGAAAATAATTCAAACAATGATTGCAGCAGCAGCAGCTGAGCCTTGTTAATCTGTTGTTTGCCTACCTCTGAGGCCCTTGCATGCTCTGTTAAAACAACTACTAAGTCTCCAGGTCTCCTGAGGTATAGATCCAGCTTCTTGAATACATGCCATATGACTTGGGGCAATTCTCTTCCATTTGTTTTGTTTTTGTTTTTTGTCTTGAGCTTCAGTTTCCACATTACTACAATAATACTTGTTACTGTCCTAGGTTGTTATAGGAATTAAAGATAAAATACTCATGAAACAAACACTGCAGTGCCTGTTACGCATCAGAATAAGTTTTACATGTTTCCAGTTTTTATCACTTGTCCAATGGCTTGTGAGGTAAATGCCATCATCATCTCTATTTCACAATTGGTAAACTGAGGCTCAAGGTCAACTCACTCAGAGCCATATGCTTAATGAGAAGTAGGATTTGAATTCAGGTCCCTCTAGTCTAGGGTCTTTGGGTATAACCCTTTCTTCTGTCACTATGGTGAATCCAGTGAGAAGGGGAAAAATTTCCAATTCTTTTTACATTTAAAAGCATTTCATGGGGCTGGTGAGATGGCTCAGTAGTCTAAAGCACCTACTTAGAACAAGCTAAGCTAAGCAAAGCACAGGGACCTCGGTTCGATCCCCCAGCACCACATACCAGCCAGCCCCACCCCCTGGTGGGCTGAGCTGGCCACACACACAAAATAAATGAAAAAATAAATAATTAAAAATAAATAATAAAAGCATTTCAGGCATTCCTGAAAATATTTTAATAGATATGGAAGAATGAAGCCTACATCATGAACTTCACAGAAGAGGACCTGAGGAAATACCAATGGGCTGAGATTTGGCAGGGCTCAAACAAACTCTCCCTCCCCTCAAGCTGTAGCTGTGACATGCAGACACCCTGGAAGATTACACCAGGAGCCATCAGCCTACTCTTCTTTGCTTTCTGAGCCACTGTCAGCACATTTCCCTAAGGTGTTATTACTTAAGTACCAGGTAACACAAGCGGCCAAGGACAATGTAAACTATGGGTCTAGGAACAGAGGCAGCAGCCTTTAGCATATGTTTTTGGGTAAGGATGGCTTAGTAGGATGAGGATCTGCCAGCCACACAATCTCACTTCCTGAGATATATTTCAGCAGTTTAGAGAGCCTCGGTAACCCCCACCCCAAGGCTCTCTCATGCTTCCTTGAACAAAATCTCCCTGTGTCCAAGCAGCTCCCTAAATCTGAGGGTTCTTCAAAGACCCTTTCATTCCCATGCCCACTTGTCAGAGAAATCTTCTTTCCCCTTGCAAAATTTACTTTAGGTGTCCCAAACCACCACTGGGTGGTGTAAGCTTTCCCATTTGATCTTATAGTGCCCTAAGAAAGTTTAATATAGGGCACAAGTGAGATGAAAAAGGGAACGTCATCCATTGAAAAGCATCGTAATAAGATGCACATGTTGTGCCGCTGCTGTGGTTCTAAGGCCTGCCACCTTCCAAAGTCTACTTGTGGCAAATGTGGCTATCCTGCCAAGTGCAAGAGAAAGCATAACTGGAGTGCAAAGGCTAAAGGGCAAAATACCACCAGAACTAGTCGAATGAGGCACCTAAAAATTGTATATTGTTGGGCCGGGGAGATAGCTCAGTAGATTAAGCACTTGCCCGGCAAGTGCAAGAGCTTGAGTTCAATCCCCGGTTCTTAAAAAAAAAAAAAAAAAAAAAGTATATTGTGGATTCGGGCATGGATTCTGTGAAGGAATTACACCTAAACACAAGATAGCGGCACTTGCAGCATCTAGTTCATCTTGAGAATTGCAGCAATCACTCAAAATAAATGCTTTGGTTTTAAAAGAAAAAAAAAAGTTCTGTATAGCATGCATCCAAGGGACAGACTTGCAGAGCTAAAGACAACGTGACAGAGGAAAGAGGGCAACAAGCTTGGCAAGTTCAAGCCAACATAGTCCAAAGACAAGGAGTGAGAGAGAAGAACAAGAGAGAGAGAGATAGAGGGTAGCTTGGTAGTAGAAGACTTTGTAGTCTTGGTGCAAGGTTTAATCTAAGAATGAAAACCCCAGAGGATAAATTCTCTTACTCATCAACCATGAATTGAGTAAATGCTACAGGCTGGCTCTGTTCTAAGAACTCACATTCCAGAGTTGGGAACAGAGTCTCAATAAATGAGCAAGATAAAGTTAGATGATTCTAAGGGCTCTGAAAACAAGAGAATGAGATGACTACAAAGATTAGGGGAGATTTTTAGATGAGACAACCAGGGAAGATACAGAAACAAGGCTGGAATGAAGTGAGACGACAGGCCCAGTGAGGAAACATGAATAAATAAGCCCTAAAGGTGATCAGGACTATGATGAGAATACACAGAGTGGCAGGCTAGAGAGTACCCTGGTGTCTGTTGTGTGTTTACATCCCAAAAGACAAAACAACTCACTCACTGTCATTAACCAATATCGTAATTGATTCGCTTTGCAAATACAGGAAAATGAATTCATTGCTGTTAAGTAGTAGGCCAGGTTCACTTAAGATAAACAGTGTCTGCAAAGATAAACCCAGTGATTTTTTTTATCTTCCAACCTGCCAGGAGGCTTCCTAGAGAGCAGCAATTCCAAAAATACTCCTCTCAGCTCACCTCTGCCTTGGAGATCTTCATTCCTTCACCAGCTTTCAGCTAGCCAGAAGCCTGAGGCGGGAAGACCTGAAGACCAGGCTCCCTCTCCAGGAACGGCACCCAAAGTGATGCTCTCTCCGTGGTGCAAGACACATTTCACAAGCATATCGTCATCAGTTCCCTCATATTCCCATTTAAGAGTCAAGGGAATGAAGTCCAATTGCAGTAGAAGTATCAAGCTCAAGCCTGGACCAAGAAATAGGAAACTCTCAAAGGCATATTACAGCGATACACACATACTCCTGTTTATAGCTGCACAGTTCACAGCAGCTGCTAAACCAACAAATGAATGGATAAAGAAAATGCAGGATATACACACAATGGTATATTAGCCCAAAAGAAAGATAAATTTGAGTCATCTGCAGGAAAATTGATGGATCTTGAGACAGTAATACTAAGTAAAATAAATCAGACCCAGGTTAAACATCAGATGGTTCCTGTAATAAACCATAAATAAAAAGCAAAATAAAAGAGAGATGGTGGGCTGGAGAGATGGCTCAGTGGTCTAAAGCACCTACTTGGAACAAAGCACAGGGACCACGGTTCGATCCCCCAGCACCGCATGCCAGCCAGCTGCGCCCCCTGATGGGCTGAGCTGGCCACACACACACACACACACACACACACTAAATAAATTTAAAAAAAAAAAAAAACATTCCAAAAAAAAAAAGAGAGATGGTGGGAAACAGGGACATAGACTCTGTGGAGATGGGAAGGAGATGGGAAGGGGATTTGGTTAATGAGGAGAGGAGGAAGGAGGAGAAAAAAAGATCAAGATGCCAGGCATGGTGACGCACGTCTGGAATCCCAGCAGTGGAGGAGGCTGAGGCCAGAGCATTGTGCTAATCTGGGCTACATGGCGAGTTCGGTGCCAGTCTGAACTACATAGCAAGATTCTGTCTCAACAATAAACGGACATGATCAAGATGCGATATGTATATTATCCATTCCTCAAAATGAACGTATTTATCACAAATACAAAGAGACAGAGATAGGCAGAGAACGACAGCAAGAGAGACAATTCCTCTTCTAACTCCTGGATCCTCTAGCACTGAGGGAGTCGAGGCGAGAGCGTTTGGGACCGTGGAGCCTTCACTCACCAGTGCAGGCGCTGCCATGGGATGCAGAGGGCTGAGAAGGCTGAGAGTGGGGGGCGACCAGAGCCGGTGTGGCGGCCTCAGCGAACCCCTCGCTCCAGTCTTGGGCAACGTGGACCCTCCAAGCGTCAGCTGAGTAAATGCACACAAGGCTCAAGCCACCGCCTGCAGATGTGTGGGCACAAGGCCGATGCGGAGGTCCCCAAAGCGCTCGGCGGGCCACTTTGGTCGGGAGGGTGCACAGGTCGGGGTCTCGGTTCACACAATAGGTGCAAGTGGGTCCTATTGTCCTCCCTGTCCTCGTCTACTTGGGCTCAAAAGGGTTGAGAAGCGGCTTCTGACACACTCCAGCTACTGTACAGCCAATAGGAGGTCGGCAACCTGAATGACAGGAAGTCCAGAAACCTTAGGAGCCCAGGAAATGTCCTTCTCGGCATTCCGTCCCTGGCGCAGCGCTCTGCTTTCTGGGTAATGTAGTTTCTGACCAGAGTCAGAGAGGCGTTTAGAGGCTTTCTGCTGTTCTGCGGAAAGGGCCGACTAAGGTTCGTAGGAGGGGGTGTGGCTTCGCCTGCTCTGAAAGGAGATTCATACTGATTTAGAGGCTCCATGATGTGTGCTCATTAGCTATAGTCTTGACCTTCTTCCCCATCTCAGCCTGGGCCCTTAATCTGTCAGGGCTTTGAAATTTTTAAGAAAATTGAAGACAATTCTATAACACAATATTAAATGTTTCCTTATTCAATAGTTTTCAGATCACACTGGAATTATTTGGGCTTTGCTTCAAATACAGGATCTCAGATCCCATCTCAGCTTTGCTATATTAGGCATTCTGCATAAGTCTTCCAGGAGTTTTTGCTGCTCTAACAACAGATTTGAGAATTGCTTTAAACTCTAGCGAACAAATAAAAGATATGTACCCTTTCAGGGGGAAGTACCTTAAAAAAGTGTTTAATACTGGGCCAGGAGCATAACAAATAAGATCTATTGCTGTTAGTATTATTTATATTCCTATCATCGGCAGCCTCTACACAACTATTTCACACTGAGAAAGTCTGAGACTTCTTTGCAGACTTATTAATGATATTTGTCAAAATAGGAAACACGACTCTGACTCAAGAAGGCACCTCATGAGTAGTGTTCACATTTTTTATATAATAATATGCTTGTATATGTAAATGAAACTTAATTGAGCCAGGTCTGTTCTAATAGGGCCAATATGTGGCTTGAGTCCTCTAGGTACACATGCATGTACCCCAGAAAGCTTACCTTAAGCTTAATGCAAGCTCTCCAGGATCAGCCAGATCCAAAAATGTCAAAACATAATAAAAATGTTAAAGACACAAATAACATAGAAAGCTCAACCATGTCTTCTGGTGACTCCAACATCGTACTTCCTAGTTACCGAAAGCAGGTATGAGCTTCTTCCTTACTCCTAGTATTGGGGTCGGTAGTTCATGTTTCCTCCTACAGGCACATCACCATACAGATGGGACCACACTCACACTTTAGATCCCACCTGTGAACTCCCGTTGTCCTTGCTACCGAGCCTGGCCCGCACCACAGGCCATTTGCATGGGCTTTCCAGAAGTTCCTCTGTACACGGCATTCAGAAGTTCTTTGGCAAAAGCAACCAAGGTTTCATCTACTCAATCTTTTGTCCTAGTAACAAAGTACCATGAACTGGGTGGCTTAAAACAAAAATTTTAACTAACAGTTCTGTAGGTTAAAAGATTTGTTCTCTCTGATGGTTCTGGGAAAGAATCTTTCCTTGCTTCTTTTTTTTAATGTATTTAGTACAGAGTGTAGAGGGTCTCACTACATGGAATATATATATTATCTATAAGGAATTTTTTTTTTTTTTTTTGTTCCTCGAATGGCTTCAGGGCACTTTTGGCCAGCGGGAGAGTTGTGAGGTTCGAACTCCAGCAACCTGAGGCTGAGAGCTTTGTGGAAGCAGCCACTTAAAGGCCTGAGCTAGGGCCATGCCCCCTATATTATCTATCTATCTATCTATCTATCTATCTATCTATCTATCTATCTATATGCATTAGTTAAAATAGAGTTATACTACTAATTTCTCTTAGGTCACTGGTAAGAAAGGCTTGTGTTAATTTTTTTTCTGTATTTTAGAGAAGGGTCTACAGGATGTCCAAGGTCTCACTACTAGATTGGACTCGTAGTGATTCTTCCGTTTTCAGCCTCCCAAGCACTGAGATTACAGGCATGCCACCATGCCCAGTCTCAATCATTGTCTCAGCATGCCCCAGGGGCAGGACCAGCCAAGCAAGCCAGGAATTGAACCCCTGCTGCTGTGCTCTACCTAAGCAGGAGCCTTAGTCCACTAAGCTGTTTGGCCAGCCCGCCTTGCTTCTTCTAACTCCTGATGGTCTCTTCTATTCTTTGGCATTCCTTGCCTCCCAGATGTGTCCCTCTAGTTACATGGCTATCACCTATGTCCCTTCATATCTTCCTTCTGTGTCTCTCTCCATGTCCAAAAGTTCTTTTTATTTTATTTTA